CATGTATTAAATAATAGTATACATTTTGTGTTTTCTCTAGCAGGTCTTTCATTGTACTGGATCCGAGAAGTCACTCTGTCAAAGGTTGCAAGAAGCCCAACGTCATAGACCGGTTATTCCTTTTCCTCGTGATAAAAGTAGGATAGCGTTTTATAATGGTTGTCACGCGATACTCATATTCTATGTTTGTATCTTTGAAATCGATTGGAGTGTTCCCCTTCCCCTTGATTTGATGAAACACCCCTTTTCAGGCAAGCAACTTCCTGCGACTTATATGAGACTATTGATGTCTTCAGATGCGCAGAAGATGAAGACAAACCACAACACGAAGGGAAAACCTGTGCCTGGTAGGTATGATGATAACGAAAGAATTGTCAGTTGTGTACCTTCCATGGGCTTCAGTATAATCAAACCAGTAAAGTCGAGTGTTCTGCCACGATTTTCATAAACTTCCGGAACCCTCTAGTTTAGACAACTGCCTTTTATAGCATGGAGGCAAGAGGTACCTGCACTACCACTCCATGAGGTGGAGAGGTTCGACTGCAGTCAGGGACTTGCTATGGCAGGATGGCTTGTCCCCGACGAGGCCTTGGACTTACAAAGGGAGAGTAAACTGCCCATGTGGGCAATGGTTACACCAGGCGGTTGTCTGGTGCTAGATTGCACTCCAGGTGTATAGGACCTGTGATGGCTCCCCATAGGCCCATAAAATATAGTGGCTGGCAGTCGACTGCTTCATACTATAAAAGATGTCAAGTTGTTCCATGGTTTAAACGGAGTTCTAAGTCTTTCATTGCATTGTTTAAGCCCATGCAAGCGGACACACCGGTTCATCCGTTTGACCGTGATATCTGTCAACTGGAGACTGCCTAGTAACTGATCACCAGAACACGCGCGGACCTCCTTCCTGGGGATGGACATGATGATCGGAACAATTTTTCTGGACTCTCCCTCTATTTGAAACTGTCACCGGTGCCATGGTCCAAACGCAGACCACGCGGTGGCATGTATCGGGACGAAGTTGGGATGTTATTTTTTGGTCTGTGTTTGGCCCTAGCCACCTGCAAAAGTTTATGTTTTCTCCTGCCAAGTCTGCTGATAAAGCAGTGAACTTGGCCTTGGAGGGAGAACTTCTGTGTAAACTGTTTTAATTGGTCTGTGGTGATTGGTCCATCGCTCGTCAAGGGCAACTGGAGGACAAAGTGATGAGGAAGGTGATGAAGGGCCTCCCCCAGACTCAATTGGAAAGACCCCCCCCAATTCACTGCGCCTGCGTCAGGGGATTTCCAAGGTGCTCACGCATGCGCAGGAGGGGTGCACTTACATAACAGAAGGGGTGGGATTGAGAGCCGATGACGGGGCGGTACTGACCACACCTCCCCGGGGCAGGTGCTCTCAATAAACTTTATAAAGGCAGACTCGTGTCTTGGCGGGGGTTGCCGGCTCTTCACAACGGACCAAGTTGCTTCTAGCGGGGACGCCTGCTGAAGTGGGAGCCTGCCACCCCTCCGGAACACGCAGCTGCTACAAAGAGGCTTTATTACTAGTTAGAGTGGGTAAGACTTTCTTACAGATGACACCTAGGTGAGTAGGGTGTTGAGCTATCTTACTTGGGTTTTTTGTGCACTTTTTCCTCCTTGGCCCTAATTCTTTTCTCTCAGGCGCCTGTTTTTTCCCCTTTTTTCCCCGTTTGCCACCTTTTTTTTTTTCTAATAAATAGCTATTTTTTGCAAACTAGCAACGGTGTTTGGTTTATTCACGTTCCAGAATCCCTCGAACCTGTTTTTCCCCTGGTTTTTCCACATTTCCCTGTTACACTACTCTACGTAGCATCAGTGGCATGATGTGTGGAAGGGATTTTCCCTTTGAACATCCGACCCAGCCCTGGCAGTTGGGGTGCCAGGAGGAGCTGTGCTTTGGTGCCAATCACTTCTGAAGCAGCTCAAACCCCTTCATAAGCTGCCAGTATCTTTTTCAGTTGGGGTGTAACAGGCCTCAGATCCTTTGCATTCCTGACTCCAGAACCTAACGACGGAGGGAGTCAGACAGAAATGTACACAAATCAATATGATTGGCAAAAATGTCCCCTTTATTAGAGGAAAGGCAGCTTATATGCTGCTTGTGACACAGAGATGTGATTCTTCCCCAGGTTACATTGGATACATAAGGGAAACATACTGTGGTGTACAGTACTAATTAGATAACAGCAGGTGTCCATAAAACTTGTTTTCCTGCCAAAATAACTCCTCCTTCACTTTGGCACAAGGCCTGCAGCCATATTAGTGGTGCAGTATTTTTTACTGTCTGCACCCAACCATGCCAAGGTAAAGGTCTCAGAAATGCAATAGAAATTGTTCACACAATTTCTGTCCTCTGACAAATCCCCCGTTGAAGTTTGAACAATTTCAATTGCATTTCTGTAACATTCCTTATTGTATCCATAACATTTCAATAAACGCAGACATACAATAACACTACTATCATTAATAAACTTAACAACCTATTGACCCCAAGATGTGTGCTCTCAAAGTGTGCCTAAAAGTGCTTCTTTAAATGTAGGGTTTATTCTTAAAACTTCCACTCTGTCCAGAACATCCTTGGAAATAGAACTCCATTAAACTCTGGACCATATGTCTTCTGTTATTCTTTTTCACACCTTGGCCCTTAAATAACACAATGACATAATCATATATTAACACTGGATCTTCTGTTTCTATTGCACTCTTTGCATACCATTCTATTGCAACCCGGAGAGTTTGTTCAGGATTTTTTGCCATTTTATGTAAAGGTATCGGTGTATTTGTTTATCCAAAAGTGTTTGTGTATGTGTAAGTGAATATTCACACATATACATGCATACATTTTCATTCATTCACTTTCACACGGTGGCCACCATCATTCAAAAACACTTCACACAAGCATACTTTTGAATCTCATTTCACTGTGTCTCATGAATTACGAAACCATACTAATTGTCTAGTACCTTTTGGTGTGAAAGCTTCTCCACCAAACAGGTAAACTTTCCTCCACCAGTACCCAGTGAATAATCTAAGATCTTTACCTTCTATAATTATATGCTTAAACATACTAACAAATTGTGCTCCAACAAAACTAAAAATACTGTACCTTAACAACACTAAAATGTGCTCATAATGCTGAAAAATTGTGCTCTCGTAATACTTACTTTAAAGTTCGTACAATACACTCTCTTAAATCCTTAATTCCATGTGCTTAAAAAATATACTAAAAAGGTGTATATGACTAAGAAAAACTATGCTTATAATACTAAAAAGAACTGTGCTCCAAAAACTGTGTTCTAACAATATTGAGGAAACTGTCAGCCACAACAGCTCCTGATGTTGCCATTGTTACCTGCAGAAAACAACATCAACCTTGTTCTTTCTTTCCAAGGCTTCATTCATCATGCAGGCAACTACGAACACCTGTGTACAAAAAAAACCTTAACATATGAAACAACTTTTGCAAGTGAACTGAGGGGGCTGCCACCTGTCCTCTCCCCGTTTCTGTCTTGCAAAAGTGTTTTACAAATTCTTAAATCACTGACCCCTATACCAAATACATAGCATTGCCTGACAATTTGGTAGTATTTTCCAAACTGGACAAGAAATCCACCCTTTTAAAGTTTGTCTAGTTTGGATATGATATAGACTTTTACCTCTGTCCTAGTTAGAACAGCTGGGACCGATTCATCACTGGATGGGTGTAGCCCAAAACTGTGTATTCTATAGCCCTCCATGCCATTTCCCAGAAACTGTTGTCAGTAGAGGCCTGCGAGGTGGCCCCCCTCATGCTCCTGTCCTCATGCCCTTTTGTGGAATTCCCTGACTGAGCACCCTCACACCCTTTTATGGAATTCCCCACTCTGAGGGAAGGACTGAACATCCTTTTATGGAATTCCCCACTCTAAGGGAGGGACTAATCATTCCTGCCTGAGCTGGAGAATATATAAACCTGGAGTTTCAGAACCTTACCACTACTCGTGGGATACAGGGGAGGACTGCAGCTCACCGCTCTCAGCCAGACTGCAGCTCACCGCTCTCAACCGGACTGAGACCACCACCCTCGGCTGGACTGCAGTCGCCGCTTTTGACCGGACTGCAGCAGCTCTCCCACCAGCAGGTTTTTCCCCTCTTCCTTTACTTTGGACTCGGGGGGGGCCCAGGGAGCACCGCTTTGTTTGTGCCCTGGTGTGCCAGGTTGTACATTTGGGTTTTGTGGGTTGAGACCAATTGCTTGTCTGTGTAGTCGTGCTTATTGTATTATTTTATTAAATTGTTATTCTGACTTGCAATCTCTCTTTTGAGCTGAGTTCATTTCCCCTGCTGGTTAACTTTTAAACGAGCACAACCCCAAAAATTGTTATTGCACAATCACATATAATCTTGGGAAGACTCGTAAGCCAAAAGGTTTCTGTCATATGCTGGTTCCAAATAAATCTTGCTACCCACTGTAACACTACTGGGATGAAACACATACAAATATGAGCACTGCAAAATAATCAATGTCTGATGTAGAATTCCCAAACCACACCAGTCTGCCTGAGTTTCACAAACATCACTGGTGTGACATGAACAGCACAGAAACAGACCATTGTATACAGCAACAACCATTAGGCCTCAGGATGTTACAAGTTCTACAGCTTTCCATTGTCTTCCTTTCCCCTTAGTGACACGGCTGCTCCAACCCAAGAGGCAAAACCAAGCACAATTGCAGACACTCTGCACATGGCATCACATATGTCCTTCACTTCTTGAAACCAGGGCTTAGCTTTAGCTTTTACCTTTAACACTGCTGCAAGAACAACTTGGCAGCACACAGTTCAGGAGAGTTTGTTTCCAAATTTTGGTTAAATTCATAATACAAATGTAATCATATTATAACCTTTTATGCAGAGAAAAATGCAAGTTGTGATTTCAACTCTGATTCTTGCTTGCTAGCAATATAATACCACATACAAAAAGAATAAGTGGAAACACCTTGTTGGTGACAGATATTTCCTTAACTCCGGAATAGTAGATTCAGGGATCTATTAGGGCAAGAGGCCTGCTATACAAGAAAGAAAAAACCAATGCATTTTGTTCTTTAAAATGCATGGCCTGCATTGAATGGTTAATGCATGGCTGTAGTTATTGTTCTGATTAATACAAAGATGACAAAACCAATTAGAACAGTGTCTCTAATTTCCTGTATTTGCATTATCTTCTCAGTCTCGGGCTAGGCTCACCGGAGCCACAGATTGGCTCCTCTTATTCATGACAATTACTAATGATAGATTGAGAATGAACATTTTTGACTTGTGATATAACCAAACGAATAAGGATTATTTGAAGGTATAGGAGAGGTATTGTTAGTCATAACCAATTACAACACCAGGTGCATCCCAGGGCTTTTCAATACAGACCATGCATTTCTTGCACTTGGGATCAAATTAAAGATTTTGTGTCATTTTCTCTCTTTTTCCAAAATTATAATTAATACTATCTCAGTAGGAAACTAAAAATATAACCACAAAATTAAAAATATAACTACAAAGGTCTTTCTCTTCAGAACACCGTAGAAATGTTACCCACTACTCCAAGAAGGAAGGAAAAGTTAATTGCATAAAAGTTAATTTACTTACTTTTCAATATATTTAGCACGTTTAAGTCTACAACAGTGAAAAAATACTGTTTGATTATTCTTTTCAATACTCAGCTTTAAGCTACATGTGCAGTTCAGAAAGGATAGAGAAAGCCAGATTCCAGCTTGCAACCAGTTCCTTAGATGTGAGCTACATTATCTGCTCGTATTTTTAGTTCTTTTACCTATGAAATTTCGGTAAGAGAACAGAATTCACAACATAAGCAGCACAAAGGAAAACAAATTAGTTGTAAGATCATGTAACTCCATAATTGTGGAACAACACCACACAACAGGTAAAAGTCACACCTCTTATATTAAAATCCTAAATCACTCACAGTTCTTAAATAATTCATAAATGTAAAACTAACTAAATCTAGCTTTGAGATTGTTATATTGGGAGGCAAACTAGAAAAATTTTACTAAATTCAACCTGACTCCAGTAACTCAGTTTTATTGCAATCTCTACTGATTTCCTGACAGATGATCATGTAGTCTCCAGACATTTCTGGTGTATAAATCAAATGGGCATAAAAAGTTCTAATTCACGCATCAATGGTTTTTGAAAAGTGTAATTTAGTAATCTGCTCTTTTATCGGTATACATTAAACACACACATTTTGCATCTTGTTAGGTTATTTTAAAAAGAATCTGAAATTCATGTAGTGTAACTGTTGACATAACATCAGTGCCAAGAGAGAGAAGTCAAACTTCACAGCATAGTGTGTGCCTGAGTAGTGTTTTTAGAAAAGCAATTAGGCTGTATGCTATATCAGCAGTTATAAAACATTTAAAAACATATAATACGTTTCATTTGACCAAACTGCTCTGTACATACTGTACGAATCCACGACAGAAGATATATATTAAAATCTGAAAAACTGTACTTGCTACTATGTTATAAATAGAATATTAACAGTTGCTTAAGCAGTACATGGAATGCAGCTCAAAGGTGCAACTCTGTCACAAACACAGAAGAAAAAAAATTAATGAATTCACTAAACTTGACCACGGAAAAGAAATAATATCAGACAGGAATGTAAACTAAACATACAAATGTTAAAATCAGCTGAGTAAACCTTTTTAAACACAATTCTTAAGATGTGATTTCCACTGTCACAATCACTTCTCAGTTTATAACAGGAAGATAGAAAGATGTTTTATCTAAGAATTAAGGAAATTCTCAACCTGTTGGCTTTCCATTTATCTTATCTGCAAATTTGTAGTTTTTGTAAGGTAAGTTCTACTCTCTCCCTAGTTCTGAGAAACTGCTGGAGGTGGTTTGAGTCTCAGTTGCTAAGCAACAAATGATCTCTATTGTGTGAACTTTATGTCTCCTCCTGCTAAGGCTGAACACGATATTTGGGCAGAAGGTCTTTACAGGGGTAAGATGTAACTAAAAATAAGGCAATTCACTAAAGCTTTTATATAAAGATTCATTCTCTGGGATTGCATGTTAACTTCTAGAAAAACACAATCTTTTAGTTTTAAGTTATGTACTAGTGAGTAGAAGGACTAAAGAGAGAGATTCTGCTTTCTCTTCTCAATTACTGACATGCCTGGATTCTGCGGGGCAAGTCCCCCGCAAACCAGTCACCGCCGAGCTGCTGTTCCCTGGGCCGCTCCGTGCGTCGTGCAGCTCCCGGGGATCCCCGCAGAAGTCTGGCTGGCTCTGCAGAAGTAGCTGTTGGCGTTGCCTCTGTTGCTGAGGTCCCTCTGCCGCCTCTTGCCGTGTCTGCCAGCGCCAGCATGCCGGACTCTGGCAGCTGTTTGAGTAATCCTAAAGGGAATTCTTATGCTTTTATGTGTACTCGAGACACTCTAACGGGAGGAAATTCTCCCTGACTCTCACCTTTGAGCTTTAACAGTTGCTAACAAACGTATGGTCGCTTCTCCACACACACACAACCCCCAACACACACACACTAGCACCGTACCGTTAGCAATACTGTGAGCTCACGACATTGGACACACAACACAATTAACACGAGAGTTAACAAAATTACGGGAAGGCAGTTCTCTAGCCTGCCTCTCCTGTCAAGGAGAAGTGGCACTTTTTCGGTGTTGCTTGTTGTGCTAATATAGCATCTTCTAATACAAGGTTCAATAGCTGCTAATTTCTTTCATATGCACCATACCTGGAAACTTTTTTTTTTTTTGTAAACAGCGTCTGTTGCCATGGCAGCGATTCACAGTGGCTTTCTTCCGGGTTTCATGGTGGCTTCAGGCGCCAGCGATGCAGTGCCACGGAGGCTCCTAGCAGCGTTGTTCCAGGCGACACATGCGCAGTAGCAGGCACAGTGAGGAGCGACACTGCTGACTGCGCAGCCGCAGTAGAGAACGGTGCCATTGGCACGGCTCCAGCTTTAGTCTCCGCCGCTACTGATTTTCCCGCAGCCCCTACACTTTCTGCTGCTACATACACGGTGCTAAACAGAGGTGATCCCGCTGCTTTTAAGGTTCCTAGCATTCGCAACTGCGCAGCCGCAGGTACGGGTATCTCCCCTACAGCGGACCAATCAGGGTGGGGACTTGCCGTAGTCCCACCATCCCCCGACAGAGCTGTTTGAACATTTATGAGTCCCCGTCGCTCAGAACTCAACTCTTGTAGCGACTCAACTGCCAGACGCCAAAATATAGTACACTTTCTAGCGGCGTCCGATCCCGTAGAGATCCCGTCCCAAAACAATGCCTTTATAGCGTCCCTTGTGGACAACTGAAAGGCGGTCCGAGCAGTGGGAAGTAGATTCTTTGCTCTCACTCATTCTATTAACCCCTTAGGGGCTTTTTCATCAGAAACAGGTTCTCCTAGAGAGATCATAAATTGGAGGAGTGTTTCCACCGCTTCGTCCTCTGTGGATAACTCAGGCCCCGTGCCTCCTCCCTCGGTCGACTCACCTGGCCAAGGCGAGATTCCTCTGTGCTGTGCGCACGGCCTTTATCGCAGCCCTGGGGACAGCGCTACCTTCATGACCCCTTCCCTCAGCTCCTCTGTTCACCTTACGTCCCTGCAGAACTCGGCGAAGTAGGACTCCCTGTTAAACGGGCTCCAGATAACGGCAGAGGGGGTCAGACAGAAATGCACACAAATCAATATGATTGGCAAAAATGTCCCCTTTATTAGAGGAAAGGCAGCTTATATGCTGCTTGTGACACAGAGACATGTGATTCTTCCCCAGGTTACATTGGATACATAAGGGAAACATACTGTGGTGTACAGTACTAATTGGATAACAGCAGGTGTCCATAAAACTTGTTTTCCTGCCAAAATAACTCCTCCTTCACCTTGGCACAAGGCCTGCAGTCATATTAGTGGTGCAGTATTTTTTACTGTCTGCACCCAGCCATGCCAAGGTAAAGGTCTCAGAAATGCAATAGAAATTGTTCACACAATTTCTGTCCTCCAAAAAGAACCCCAGAGGTCATCCTCAAGTCTCCCCCAGTACATTTTTCCAGAGACTCCAGGAAGGACCATTCTCCCCGGCTGTAATGTAAAGTACATTTTTCACACTTTGTCCTGTCCTGACTGGCCCAAGGGCTACTGCATGAACAGTCTCCTGTTTAATTTGTTCAAAAGTGTGTTGTTGTTCAGGACCCCACTTAAAATCATTCTTCTTCTGTGTCACATGATAGAGAGGGCTTACAATCTGACTGTAACTAAACTGTAACTGAACTGCATCCTCCAAAAACCCATACCACCTAGGAAAGCTTGTGTTTCCTTTCTCTTAGTTGGTGGGGGCATAGCTGCTATTTTGTTGACCACGTCCATTGGAATCTGAAGACGTCCATCTTGCCATTTTACTCCTAAAAACTGAATTTCCTAGGCAGGTCCCATGACCTTACTTTGCTTTATGGCACAATTGACCTTCAGCAGAATCTGGATTATCTTCTCCCCTTTTTCAAAAACTTCCTCTGCT